ATAGAGTATTTAATTTCCATTAAGGTAAAGACCCTAATTCCCTATAATAAAAAATCTAAAAAATTCAATAGCTTTAGACAACTACATGAATACTACCTTTCACAGTTCAAAAATCAAAAGAGTTTACCATAGGGGCTTAAGCCCCACCCCTATAAATACCTAATTTAGGTGTAGAAGCCTAATTTACAGGTTGATGACAAATGAAGCTACCTAGGTGTGTTCAAACCTAAGCCTAGGGGTAGAGACCAGTACTCAATAGGAACCTTCTACCCCTATAGGAGCTAGGGGTAGAACCCTAGGGGTTGAAGCCTAGGGGTTGAAGCCTAGGGGTTGAAGCCTATTATAGGGGGGAGATTTATAATAGGAACCAAATAGAATACTCCTTCTGTGTTCAGTACAGTGTCCATAAGACGACGACATCTTCACAAGATTAAGATGACGTTCACTTCCCAGACACTGTACTGAACTAGGTAGATTGTTGTTTGGGTCTCTGCCCAAGCCTGCAGAGGCTATTTAAGCTGTATTTAAGGGTTGTAGAGGTATTCTGTGGTGTCCAAGACATCTTATAAAGGTTAAACCAGCTTAAGGATTAGCTAAAACAGCTGAAGAATCAGTTAAAACAGCTTAAATTTACTAAAAACAGCTGGAGAATCAGTTAAAACAGCTTAAATTAAGTTAAAACAGCTGAACAATAAGTTAAAACAGTTGAATAATTAGTTAAACATCAGATGGTTAAGTATAAGTCTGATTGATACAGCATATGTTGCAAATGAGACTGTGTTCAAGAGAGTTTCACTACACATCAACTTTTTAACGCTTAAATTATTGTGTATAGAGTATTTTTTTGTAAATTTACAGTGTATATACCACTCTGATGTAGTATATAGAGTGTGTAGTTGTAAACAGATGTGATCTACTGCCATCGGTTACAGAATTTGAGACGGTCAAGCGTATAACAAATTTGAGAGCTAAAATTGACTAAAATACTCATATAAACCTCAAATAATAGATGAGAGGGACTTGTAGAGATTAAAATGTAATATATACAGGTCTAAAATGGACTAGACTGTAGACATTTGCAGATAAAACAACACTGTGAAAGTATTTGTCACTTTAAGAGTAGATTTCTTATGTTAGAGTCAGATATTTAATCACTCGCAGGCCAGTATAACAACCTTTAAAATCATTTCATGGTTAATTGCATCGTCTAACCTCGTATAACTATTGTAACCAACATACTGTATGAGTATATGGTGAAAAACCTTTGGTTTCAATGTTAAAACTAAGAACAGGGCCAAAACAGAGCTAAATTCTAGGTTACTCGTAGATTCTTTCCGAGACATACTGTTTTGGCCCTATCTCAGTTATTTATCGACAGAATGTTACGATTTTGCCATTAAAAGTTGGGTATTTATATGGGGTTTTGAGTATAATACATCCCATCAGTTAAAATAACTTCATTTATGGCCTATACTGCCAAATAGGCCTGTAAAAAATGACAATTTTTTTTAGTTAACCTCCTAAAATGGGTTTTTCAAGGTTTAAAGTTACTCAAGTAGCCTACAAGTGATGAAATTTGAGCTAACTAAAAACAGAGTTTGTTAGGTTATGTTGGTTAGCTAGGCTTTTGTACTGTCTAAATACATTAAATAACTAGTTTTACTAAGCTTTAAAAGCTGTCACCATCTGTAATAATCAGATATAAATGTAAATTTTCCAATCTCGTAGTCAATCGTAAGGCTTAGTTCCAGCGTTCAAACTGTTATTGATAAATACCAAACAAATGGAAAACCCAGAGGTTCTAACATAATTTGAAGTTAATACAACACAAAATCAACTAATTATCATGATAAATTAACAGTTATTACAGACAATAGTCTACAATCGTTGAACATTTGCAACTGTAGTAGTACTCGGTAAGAAATTGTCATTTTTTACAGGCCTAACTTAGAGTGTAGACCATCAATGAAGTTATTTTAAGTCAAGGGATGTATTATACTCAAAACCCCATATAAATACCCAACTTTTAAAGCCAAAACGGTTACATTCGGTCAATAAATAACTGAGATAGGGCCAAAACAGTATACCTCGGAAAGAATCTACGAGTAACCCAGAATTTAGCTCTGTTTTCGCCCTGTTCATAGGTTTAACATTCAAACCTAAGGCTTTTCACCATATACTCATACAGTATGTTGGTTACAGTAGTTATATGAGGTTAGACGATGCAAACTCTCATCAAATGACTTTAAACATGCATTACAGGCCTGAAAATCAATAAAATTAACACTATACCATGAGAAATTTACTCTCAAAGTGGCAAATACTTGCACAGTGAGGTTTTACCTCCACATTTATGTTCTATAGTAGATTTCTGAGCTATACATATCACATGCAAGCCTTTAGAAGTATCTCAAATCTGATAATAGGGGTTTATACAAGTATTTCAGTGAGTTTTAGCTCTCAAATCTGTTATACGCTTGAGTATCTCAAATTCTGTAACCTATGGCAGTAGATCACATCTGTTTACAATTACATACTCTATACACTACATCAGACTAGTGTACACACTTTAAATTCCATAGAGTTAGTCATTAAGAGAATATTTAAACGTTAAAAAGTGGAATTTTTGTAACTTACTCTTTTGAGCCAATACCTGTAAAAACTCTGAATTAGACCTGTGTTATTCATCAAAATCTACTCAAAAGCTCAAATACTTTGACCTTTTAGCCTTAAGAGTTGCATTAAATAGCCATAGACCTATTATACTAGACTTTAAACGCTGTAAGGCCTGTTTTAACTGTTTCTCCAGCTGTTTTTACTAAATTTAAGCTATCTCTTCAGCTGTTTTAACTGATTCTTCAGCTGATTTAACTTCAATCAGTTGTCTGGTAAATATAAATACCTTTATTAACTTTTACAAGCCCTTAAATACAGCTTAAATAGCCTCTACAGGCTTGGGCAGAGACCCAAACAACAATCTACCTAGTTCAGTACAGTGTCTGGGAAGTGAACAACATCTTAATCTTGTGAAGATGTCGTCGTCTTATGGACACTGTACTGAACACAGAAGGAGTATTCTATTGGTGCGAGAGAGAGATACCAAGCTGTGGGATTGAGACAGACTATGACTCTTCCCCCACTCCGCTGCCGAATCACCCTTTCCGAACACATGCCCCCTTAAATTGCAACTAAAATATTAACAGAAATTAAATTATACAGCTGATCAAAATGTAAACAAATACGCGGAGAGGGGGAACATACCCTCCCTCGCCGTTACCTCCCCTACATGCGCTAAAAACTTCGCGCAGGTCGCTTTCTAACTGGCCGACCTTTGGCAAGCTAGAAGCATTGACTATACACCTCTACTACTATACACTGTAGAGGTGTATAGTCAATGCTAGAAGCCTCTTCACGAATTACGAATACGACGACACGACACTACGATTTTACTACGAAGGTTAGCTAGAGGTTATAAAGGTTACCTCATGCCTTTCTGTGTATCTCAACTTGCTCCGACGCCGCCGGATCCAGTGTCCGGCGGTTTCGCCGATAAGTGTGTCCCTGGCGGTTAATTAACTAAAATGGAGGAGATGTTTGTACGGGGAGACGGACAGCGGACCAGATCATTGTTTGGGTTAATCCCCTGATTTATGGCCTGAGGGTAGTGGTCACCGGAGGAGGGGTAGGGAATCGAGAATTCTGAATCCCACCAGAGGTGTTAACTTTTTGTCAAAGATTTCGCTTATAATGCGATTACTTCTTAACTGTAAATTTTTTGTTCGAATTTAAGGCATTTATGATCAGAACTGTTTTTCGATTAGTAAACCTTTATTCGATTTTTTCATTATCAGCAAGCTTGGTTGGTTTGGTTAGGTTATGATAGTTTAATTTTATAATAAACAATTATAAAATAGAATTTTAGGCATTTGTAATTTTATTTTATGAACACAACTATTTTTTTTATTAGTAAATCTTAATTCGATTTTTCATTATCAGCAAGTTTGGTTAGTTTGGTTAGGTTATGACAGTTAAATTAAAATTTAACCTACAAACGATACGTTTTGACAGCGACGGCGATAGAGCTAACAATTTGCCGCGAACAGTTCGGCTATGCACGGTATGATGCGGAAGCGTTCGACACCACGACACCAACCTAGAATAGAACTGACAGGTCAACCGACCGTGATTAAGAGGATTACAGCCTGGTTCATGTGCCTACACCCATCATTTCCAGTTTTGTTATCACGGTTATATAAGTTAGTTAGGTTAGTTTTGTTGCAAACTTCGAAATCTGGTCACTATTGTGTTAATAATTCTTTCGTTATAATTTGTTTTGTTGTAACGGGTTTGTACGGAAACTGTGATGTAGATAACAAAACTAGAAATGATAACCACCAGTCCGCTGATACCGTGACGTCACTCTCCCGTATGGAGGGTAACAATCCATTGGTCATTCCATTGGTGTAACAATCAGCTATTTGAAATCACGAAATTAGACTTAGCAACCGTTTAGTTTTGCACAATTCTTTTTGAATAACCCTGTATTTTTTATATATAATTATGATAAAATATAATAATAAATAAATATAAATAATTATGTTTTAACTAAACTATAATGATATTTATTTAGACTCATCAAAATATAAGTATCTTACAACAAACCCCACTTATTCGTTTAGGTTGGTAAATAGTTTGACGAATCCGAAAGGTATTGGACTGTTGTAGGCTTTAGAGAAAATCCATACAAATCATTCAGTAATTTTTAAGAATTAATGGTAGCATAGTAACAGACAATGGTATTACTGTATCAATAATTTGTGTGTCATATACTCATATATTATACAATCCAACACCTTACACGACTGTCTCGAATAACCGTATAACCGGAAGAACGCAATCGTTGCTTTTAACAATTTTAATATTCTAAAGATATTCTAAAAATGTTTTTGAGCTGTTCGGTGGCGGTTGGATATAAAGTAAAAATACTCACACAACTGTAGGGACAGACAACTATGACAAAGGTGATTGTATTTGATAATTTGTTGTCAATGTGATTCAAGAGAAATCGTTTATTTGAAAGTGAAATGTAACTTCCTGTACTGCACAACTGTGGGTTTCGAGCACCGACAAACCACCAAGTCAACAGCCGCGGTGCTTGTCTGTTTTGATCTGCCTGGTAAGTGAACCAAAGTTAATACATACTTTATATTTCAAGGGAGGAATCAACATTAGTAAATTATATATTTGTTTGGTTGTGCGAAACTTATATTACTTGTTCTAAGCTAAATATAATTAAAAGTATAACGTACAATATAATCTTGCAGCAAAATTAAGTATTAGACTTGTATTAAATAAAACTATAACTAATTGAATATAAATAAAATGTAGAACGTAACGAGTCTGTGTTTATAATAGCATACCTGCTGCGTGAAATGTGTAACAATGTAATTTACTTCACATGACTATATTTTTGGTACACAAAATCTTCTGTATACACTTGAGTAAATAGATAAAACATAAAGTTTTGATGATTCATTGGTCATAGAGCTGGAAAAAATTATCTAAGGGATTACCATCAAGGAATTATTAATTTATCTCCTGGTTGTAGGCCTCTACTATTGTTTGTATATCCTTGTGTGTTCCGGTGGGTTGCCTATTAGTTACTAACGAATGGTACCTTCAACACAAAAACCATATTTTATAACAATTTGCTTCAATTGTCGTTTAAACTACACCAGACAGTTGTAGTCTTAGTTTTTTAACCAAAATTGGCGTAGTTGATGTGAGCCACCGACAGATTGTACTGAGCTAAATTACTGATATCTATCGAATACACAATCTTGTTTACCAATTAAAACTAATGGAATGACTTATTGTGAGCTATAACAACTGTTATGACCCATCAACTTGGCCAGCAACAAAAAAATATGGTAGAAAATAGAGTTTTAGTCACTAGCGCATTCTGTGACTGGCTCACACAACTACGATCATTTTTTATAAGCAATTGGCTACAGCTGGTCCATATAGATGGTATGTCTACTTCAGTATCCAATAGACAATGATATTACATATTACGATTAATTTTGTTACTGAACAAATGTAATATATTGCATCGTATATGTTTGGGGAGCTTGATGCGTCAAAGTTTAGGAAATGAAAGTACAGTTATAATGAAACCCCACTGCAGCAAACCTACAGCAACTCAAGACTAATGAGTACGTAGGTTTACTGCTAGAGCACAGGGGAGATAATAAAGTGTATTTTTAGTAGAATGTTAATAGCTTAGGATCAAATAAATAAATTTGCCTAATTCGGTCAACAAATTTCGAAATCTGGTCACTATTGTGTTAATAATTCTTTCGTTACAGTTATCCTACTATATGATAGCCTTTTATTTCGTTAATCTTCTATTATTTTTGTTATTTGTAATATATTGGATCGTTAAGCTTTGGTATCATTGTGTGCATTCGACTTGTTGTTGTAAAGCATGTAAAAATTATTTTTTTCTTCCACGTTCTATTTTCCTCTATTTTTTCTATTTCGAAGATGATTTTCTTCATTATTATTATATTTGTGTTTTGAATATAGAAGATATGCTGCAAAATTTGATTTCAAATTTCATTTTCGAAATCTGGTCACTATTGTATTAATAATTCAAAAGTTTAAAAGGGTACTCTGTTCACTAATGTTCAAACTCACTTCATACTCGTATATTATAGGACCCATATTTCTGTGTTTTTTTTTTCATATACACAGGGTTTTTTTTTAAATTTGCTTCTCTATTTATATAAAAACTGCAATAGATAGAAATATGCAGTTTGCGGGAATAATCTATTGACACAGAGGCCACAATTATTGTGAATTCAACGTTAAGTTCCCATTCACCCCCTTTATCCCCCTTCCCATAACTTAAAATTTTTTAATTGCAAGGTACCCCTTGACATATCACATGAAAGATCATGAAAAAATAAAAATAATTGTACAAACTAGAGGTCTCTCCGTCAATGCTATCAAAGGTTATGGCAGTTTAAAAAGATTAATTTTTCTCCCTTTTTTTGAGAAAAACACGTTTTTTGAAACGGCTATAGCTCGAAAACGGTAAGAGCTAGCAAAGATTTGAAAGTATTTTCATGGTCAGGAATTAAATTTCCTACATAACACTCTTAAGTGTTTTCCGAAAATCGCATTTCTTCCCCTTCAAAAAACTACCTACTTCTAAAATTTGTAAAATTTCTCGGATGTTTGACGTGTTTTTTTAACAAGCATTTTTCATAGGTGTGACTAGCTGGTATGCTAATTTAGTTACCAGTTAGTTTGCGCCATTCTTTTTTCTTTTTTCATGCCCTTTAATTTTTTTGATATGTATCAAGGGGTACCTAGCAATTTAAAAATTTTGAGTTAAGGGTAGGGGGAGAAAGAGGGTGAATTTGAACTTAACGTTGAATTCATAACAATTGTGGCCTCTATGTCAATAGATGATTTCCACAAACTACATACTTCTATCTATTGCAGTTTTTATATAAATAGAGAAGCAAGTTTTAAAAAAATACCCCCGCCGCAGCAAACCTGCCGTCCAAGCGAATTTCCATTTGGCTAAATTGATTTTTAATTGTTCTATTTAAATAACATTAGGTTTAACGAGTACGTAGGTTTGCTGCCACAAGGAAACGAATAAAGTGTCTATTTAAGTAAAATAATTATAGCTTAGTGTAAAATAAATATATTTGCAAAGTTTGATCAAATCTAAATATATCCATAAACAGGCGAACTAAAACATTTTACAATATTCTCCATAAGAATAACATGGAAATTTAAAATTTAAATTTTTTTAGTTTTCTCCGTAACCAATAACTGTACAAAAACACTTTGATATACTGAATTGTTTGCTTTTTTAAGCTTCTTTAGTTTAGAGAAAAATTGGGAAATTTTATGTTTTGAGGGTCAAAAATGAGAAAAGGCAATTTTTACCCTATAAAACCCTGTTCCCATGGTCCGATCATGCTGGATCGCGAACTCATTCAAGTTTATCCCGCCTTACACCTTCAAACCAAATTTCATAAAAATCGAATAAAAATTACTCAAGTTATCGTGTTCACGGACACACATATATGTATATAAATCTATTCATAAATAAATATATGTATATATATATAAATATATATATATATATATATATATATATCTATATATATATCTTCTCTTAGTAGCAACTAAACTGTTTTGTGTTTGAATGTAACTAGAGTCGTATTTTAACGAGCGTCTATGGACAGCGCAGTCTGCGGGTATTTCTATATTCAATGTTCAGTTGAACTGGACTGGATCGAGAAACGGAATCAAACTGTTAATGTTCCTGTTTGCACTAGCACTTGTAAACACAACTTTGTCTGATGATACTACCACTGTCTATTTTATTGTATTAATACGTGGAACTGTAAGTTTGCTAACTAAGAGCCTTTTAGGGATGTGTTTCTGAAGTAATATTGATTGATTTGGTTTCTAGTTTGAGGAAATTAGGCCGGCAAAGTTAAAAGTTATAGGCCGTTGAAAATTCGAGATGGAAGTTTTTTTTATCAGAACTATGGCTAAGTTAAGCCTGCGCACTGATTTGAGTATTTTGTAGTGAGAATATTTCCCCCGGAGGTTTCTATTATTTTTAAAAATAGAAATTTACTTGAAGATTGTTCTAAAGGTAGAATAACAAAAAATGCAAAATGATATAAAAATCTTATAGTTTAAACTTAGCTGCTACAGAGGGTGATGTTATCTAGTAGACCCACTCCACTCCCATATAATATCAATTAAAAATAATAACTAGAGATAAACCTCCTATATGATTCAAATTCTTTATTGAAAAACATCATCAAAAGCAAACAAAGACACTGTTTTAGTTTCACAAAAGATGTGGTGTACAGGGATATATCTCGACGAAGAGAAAAATTTGATTCTGAATCTGTTACAATAATTTGTTTTACATTTGAGTTTTTAGGGACGTCCATACAAGCCACTAGTGTATTTATATTTATATGTCCAATAGCACGATAACTCGAGCAAAAACGAGGTATTTTAACGAGTTCACGGACCAGCATGATCGGACTATGGGGACGGGGATTTATGGGGTTTTGTGGGGTTTTCCCATTTTTACCCTAAAAACATTTAATTTTACAATTTATTTCAAAACCGTTTTGTACAGCTCAAAAAATAATTAATTTAGTATATTGAAGCGTTGTCATGTGCCTAGTTGTTATGGAGATAATTCTATAAAACTGTAAATTTATCTTTATTTCTATTAAAATGAAGATCGTTTTGGCAGAATGATGTTTGGTACAGCGTATAACTAGTCCTACATGGGCAACATTCAAAATTTGAGAGTATTCAAAATTTACTTTTTTGCTTGCGGTTTAATAAGCCATATTCTAGTAAAGGGATCTCTTTATGACGTTTACAGAATATTATTTATTCATGGTACATTTGGCACAGTGAAGGAAATTAACTAAGAAAACTTTATTTATATTTAAAAGATAAAGATATTAGACCGGTTTTTTTTTAATTAGACTGTAATATTGAAAACAGTAGAATAAAACATTTGTAAAAATAACTGTTTGTTAACAGGAAAATGGAGCCACAATTGGAGGGAGGAGACATATATATTGAGCATTTTCTCCAGGATCAGCAGGAATTACCCTTTAGTAGTCTACAGGAAGTGATTCAAGATGGGCATGTCTTGCTGACAGGTAGCACCGGCCTTGTAGGCTCCTTGGTACTCGAGAAATTACTTAGGTAGGTGTGATACGTTTTGCAGTTACGTTTTGAGTAGCAACTTTACCAGTAGCATTCCTGAGCTATGGTTGAATTTTAAGCAAAATATAGAATTATCGTGGTATTTATTTATCTAAATTCAAAAATTCCTATCAGCTCATCTACAATTGCTTTGGATGTTTGTCTGAATTCCAACCCATTTAATCTTTTTATGGAATTTCTTTACAATTAAATATTTAAATGGAATATTTGGGCCTGGAAATAGTGTACATATTTCTATCTCAGAGTTTCGTTTTTAATGTTTTTTTCAATTCTAATCAATAGGTTATCGTACTGGGTATCTGCTAAAGATTACTTTAAGGATAAACTAATATCTAGATTTGTGTTTTACTTAAAACATTTTTTTTCTATAAATAGGATTGTGTGTCCTCCGTTAGTGATATGTATCATTCACTTTAATTTCTGTTCATTGTTAAGGAATTTCAATTATTATTTTTTTTTATCAACTTTTAATTTTAGCCATTAAATATAGTTACTGTCAACATCATTACTCTGGTAATGGTTACATTCTTATAGTATATGTTGCTTAGCATAGTTATTCGCAAAAATATGTTTGGTAATTTCTATAATCTATTTTACAATATAAAAACGTTGTTTTCTCAATGTGGGCCGGCCGGATATACTCGGCAATGGACGATCTATTGGTCGAAGTTGAAAAATATAGGTGTGTAAGTCCGAAGATTTATACTGATGTTAGTTTATTTGACTTTTTTCGTGAAGATGATGTTAGAATAGGTAATCAACTTGGTCTCCGTATTTTGCACGCCAATATACGGAGCTACAGCAGGCATATCGATGAACTTTTTGTAATTCTCAATAGTTATAGTCAAAGATTTGACGTCATTGTTTTAACTGAAACCTGGCAGTGTGACTGTTCTACGATAGTCGACCTGGGAGGGTATGTATCTTTTTCGAACTCCGTCAGTAGGAATCAGAATGATGGTGTGATTGTGTACGTGAATGAACGTTTAGGTGCGAGTTGTGAAGAAGTAAGTTTATTTGGCGCTACAAGTTTAAAGATAGGTCTAACTTTTGAGAAGGAGATATTTACGATACTCGCTGTGTATCGTAGTCCTAGGTATGGACGTGACCTAGAACAGTTTATCTCTGACCTTGCATTGTAGACCCTTTATCTCAACGTTATTTAAATACTTTATACGAGGCAGGATTTGTTGATTGTATTGATGCCCCCACTAGAGTCACTGCTTTTTCCAAAAGTTGTGTTGATCACATATTTATTGATATAAATGATACCAGTCGGGTTAAGTCGGGTATTATTCAATCGGAAATGACAGATCATTATTTCGTTGCTGCAGAAATTAAAGTTCAATCAAACCTAAATCCAGTTTCCAAAAAGAAAAATACCAAATCAGTGTCTTATATTGATAAAAAACAAGTCTCACTTTATGTCCAGGCTCATGATTGGGCGGACGTTATGAGTAGTAATGATGTCAATGAGTCCTGTGATCTGTTTATTAGGGATCTAAAAAATATTATTTCTCTTTCTTCCAAAGTAAAGTCCTGTTCAGCTAAATGCTTTAAAATTAAGCCATGGATCACGGATGGTCTACTTCGTTCCATCAGGTACAGAGACAAACTTAATAAATTACTAAAGAAACAGCCTTTCAACATAAACTTATTGAACCGATATAAAGCTTACAGGAATACCCTATGTGTTTCAATCCGGCTCGCTAAAGAACACTATTACCGAGATAAAATTGAAAATGCGAGGGGGAACTCTAAAGTCCTTTGGGAAAATATTAATGAATTGACTGGGGTTAAGAGTAATAAAGCCAAGTTTCCTATCAATAGTTTTCTTGACGTTTACAATGCGGAAATTGAGAATGAGATAATTAAAGTTGCAGACTCTTTTAATGAATATTTTGTATCTGTTGGTGCCAACCTAGCCAATGCTATCCCAGCTGTCAATGAGAATATAATGAATGACGAGCGTTATAGTGTCGATTCCTCCTTCCAGCTTCAACCCGTCTCTGAGTTAGAAATAACTGCAGTTGTCCAAAGCCTTAGAGGTGGCTCCGCCCCCGGTGTGGATGGTATCCCCGTCTCTATAGTTAAAGACAATATTTCCTGTCTGAAATTTCCATTACTACACATTTTTAACAACAGTATTCTTCAAGGTATCTATCCAGACATTTTCAAAACCGGGAAAGTTGTTCCGATATACAAAAGTGGTCCAAAGAATATTTCTGCTAACTTTAGACCAATTACTCTTGCTAGTACGCTCGCTAAAATCTTAGATAAATGTGTTAACATTCAGTTTGAAAAATACCTCGTGGAGACTAATGTTTTAGCCCAACAACAATTTGGATTCAGAAGAGACATGTCTATTAACTAAAAATAGTCATGAAGCTGTCGGAAGTAACAAGAAAAATTTACAGATTTTTATTGACTTAGCCAATAAAGTCGCTGTCACAGGTCTCAACATTGCCCACAGAAGTGGTTGTCACAATTTATAAAACATATTAACACAACCGTACAGTTCACGAAACACATATGTATATACAGTTTTACGACCATGTATATACATATATATATATATCTGTATCCACGTATATATCTGTATATACATATGTATTTCGTGAACTGTACGGTTGTGTTAATATGTTTTATAAATTGTGACAACCACTTCTGTGGGCAATGTTGAGACCTGTGACAGCGACTGAAGATGCATTGTAATAAATGCGAAACGCGTCTCGCAGGAGATAAGTAATCTTGGACACCTTAGGCTACCAAAAAGGTAAAAATATTTATAATAAATAGGTGTCTAGGCTAATATCTACAAACATATATTAAATATATATGTATTGCAATAAGAATGTTGTTAAAATTGTTTTTCACATGTCTTCTTTTGTAGATCTTGTAATAGAGTTTCCAAGATCTATGTCACAGTACGTGGGAAAGATGGGAAGACATCGCAGCAAAGAATTAAGGAACTCTTTTCTTCTAAAGTGAGTTTGGAACATATTTTCGATCATATGTTAAAAAGAATTAAAGCTCACAACCAATTTAGAACTGAGTTTCGCAAACCATAATCATGAATTATTTTGGTTGTTGGTTGAGGTGTGATATTTTCTAGTTTCCCTTCCCTTAAATTAAAAATGAAATGAGTATCTATTGGGATAATCTCTTAGTGGCAACAAGCCCAATCATTTATATTTCTAATGTTATTTTCCTCATGAAAAAAGTTCATATTAAACGGTATAAAATATCTTATGGCTACTTTCAATTTATCCAAGGTAAGAAATTGTTTATATAACTAAAGTTCTCGCAAAGTTTTTTATATACATCTAGAACTTTTCGTACCATTGGAGACAACTTCAAGCATGGGCGTCTCTTTGAGGTCACTGCTGGCTTCAAAAGCAGGTTCTAACTGAGGTTCTACTTTTGAGACTTGTAACAAATTATTGCTTACTTCAAAGTGATATTACACAGTCATATATACTAAGAATAGTTTGAGTTATAATAACAGTGTTAAATGGTTATTGGTTTTATTTAATTTTTAGTAGAATGCATGATGTAACACTCTCTTACACCATTGCTGTTAGAAAAATCTGTTAGAAAGATTCAATAATGAAATATGCTACTGAACATTTATCTTTCTATAATATTTATTATTATTATGTGGGGAATATAAGTAAAAAGGGATGTCATATCTGGAATACTTCTAAGGTTTATTTTCATTACTTTGTAAATAAAAATATCGGATGCATTTATTAGTTTCTTTTATGGGGTATTCATAGTACTTATAACAAATCATATAACTATTATCTTAATTCCGTTATATATACATACGCTACTCCCAATGTTGGATCTTGCCTCAGTTTGACTTCCCTTACCTCGGTGATGTATTTTACCTCACGTTGGCTCTACCATTCATCGTTGGTGTATCTTGTCTCAAATAGTTCCAGACATCGAAAATCAGTATCAGGAGTAATGGTAAATTTAAGAATTTCTTAAATTACGTTACGGGTAGTTTCGATCATAAAATTGTATTTTATATAACAAAAAATCCTAAAAAGCTGTTAAATTGATAATTTGAGATGAATTTACTTTTTTTCAATAAAGACGATAGTTTGGCGGAAACTGCACTTGAATTCTACACATTAATAACTTGTTGATTTTACCATGTTTATGAAATTTTTTATGAGGAGTGATAGTATTTTATGTAAAGTAGACTCCCTCTAGTTCGGTCACCTCGGGACCGGACCACTGGCCGGACTACAAAACGGCCGGACTAACCGGATGTATTAGAACCTCAATTATTTGATGTAATGGGGGAGGGGGCAGAATAACTGAAAACCACGGTTAATCCAACATGGCATAAACATATATTACATACCGGTACCCATAAAACACCTAATACTGTATAAGATGGACGTTAAATGTGATAATTAATTTACACGTTACATAATCAAAATACAAATAATAGTATTAAGTACACATACTGCATTACATCGGCTGAATCTTGCAGGACCTCCATAAAAGTAAGTACCATTATACATCATTTTAAAGCTTATGATAGCAGATACAACTTTTGTTCGAAACATATTCTCATAAAATGTCAGCGAAAAAAGTTAAGGCGGCAAAAATAAAATGTTGTGTCCAAAAAATATAAATCTTAACATCTTTATACAAATAACGAACAAACTGTAATAGCTACAACGAAAGTTAAGCAAACATGATTGAAGGAAATGTTATGACAAAGACAATAAAACAAATTGCAATTCAATATCTTGTTTAACAATCGAGAAAAACGTGATTTACGAAACCCTTACACTTCATATGTTTAGGGGGGCACAGGAGAAGGAAGCAAGGGGGGTAGGGGCGGGGACTTTTGGCTGAATACTTGTCTAAATGGTAGTAGTCGATGGGCAAAAAATCTGCTTTTTACTATTTTCCCTGGTTGACTGGACATTGGCCTTAACCTCAGAACAGTAGCCGTCGCTCGAGGACTGACAACTGAAATAACCAAGTTCTTCTGCTCCGACCAGGAGGTTAAAAGTGGTTTGCTGTAGAATACTGCTCGTTCTTAGATTACCTAAATATTTGCATCTAAGGAACAAAGAGCATTACGTAAGAGACATGCTCGTACAATTAAGTATTAAGGAATGCTTAAAATAAAACTACAACAAAAGAGGTAGTAGATAATATACAACAAATAAAATACTCACAATGGTTAATAAACAAAGTATAAGTTGATTGGACTAGGTATCTAAAACTGTTAAGAAAGTTTACAGACTTAAAAATTTAAAAACTACAAAACACAAAGAAAAACAAACGTTGGAGAATATTTTCTATATTTTGTTTATGTTTCAAGAAACACCCTTATTTTGTATGGTAATATAAACTGATACTATAAGGAATTTAGGTCTTAAAAGATATTCATCATGAAAATGAATTGTTTATATTGCAATACAAAATCCAAAATATTTGTGGAAAATATTTCTGAGCTATTGTAGTATTTGTTCGTTTAGTCTATCACATGACTTTACTGTGTGAAATAAACTTTTTTACAGAATAAAACACAATCGAAAACAGGTTTCAACTAAATGAAGTATTTAAAATGTAATTTCAATTCAAGAAAAATATTCAAAACTACTCTAGGATATTTAAAAAATATGCAATATTTATTAGTGATCGGTAAAATGTGATTTTGATGAAACACGCATATGGCCAGCTCTTGCTTTTAAATCGGTAGCTTTGTTGAATTTTCCTAAAAATCAACTCTTTTTAAGAAATATGTGCTAAAACAGGTCTTGTAACATAAGTAACAGAATCTGCAATAACGATTGTCGCCTTGTTATCAATTTTTTCGGCCTACTGGAAATTCTGTCCATTACACAGCAACAGCCCCACGTTTAAAGGTACACTTATGTGAGGATATTGTCAGGAGAATATTTGGTGGTCTGTTTTTAAACAGTAATTTACTGTCGATTCTAGTCCCTTTAGTATTTCGTGTTTATCATAGAAAATCTAATACGAATGAAATATTATTACTTGCCTACAGGGTGGCAGAATATCTAAAAGGTAAAAACAACTGGTGTTTTTAAAAAGGTCTCACAAATTGTCTATATTGTGTTTCTGTGTCTTTTAATGCGCACAAAATACTATGGTTAGATTAGTTACTCTACCAGCTAACTTATAAAATAAAAGTGTAATGTTTAATAAAACACATTCTATGTTTTCTAATATAATGTATTATACTGTATGTATAATGTATTATTTAATATAGTGTATTCAAGCATCACAAAATAGTTAATATCACATGTCGGCCCTTTCCAATACTGCTTTTATATTTTTAGTAACATATTATTTGATAAATACATACAGTATTGTCTAATGGTGCAGTAAATAAAGAAATAAATGTGATACCAATCAATAAATATCGTTAAATCACAAACCGATTTTTGACCGCTTATTTGGAAAATCAGTATTGTACCTGTGAGATTTTTAACAATCATTGTCTCTGCAGGTGTTTGACCTCGTGAGATTGGAACACTGTGAGGCGCTGGAGAAGGTGCAGGTAGTGGACCTGTGAGATTTTTAACAATCATTGTCTCTGCAGGTGTTTGACCTCGTGAGATTGGAACACTGTGAGGCGCTGGAGAAGGTGCAGGTAGTGGACCTGTGAGATTTTTAACAATCATTGTCTCTGCAGGTGTTTGACCTCGTGAGGTTGGAACACTGTGAGGCGCTGGAGAAGGTGCAGGCAGTGGACCTGTGAGATTTTTAACAATCATTGTCTCTGCAGGTGTTTGACCTCGTGAGGTTGGAACACTGTGAGGCGCTGGAGAAGGTGCAGGTAGTGGACCTGTGAGATTTTTAACAATCATTGTCTCTGCAGGTGTTTGACCTCGTGAGGTTGGAACACTGTGAGGCACTGGAGAAGGTGCAGGTAGTGGACCTGTGAGATTTTTAACAATCATTGTCTCTGCAGGTGTTTGACCTCGTGAGGTTGGAACACTGTGAGGCGCTGGAGAAGGTGCAGGTAGTGGACCTGTGAGATTTTTAACAATCATTGTCTCTGCAGGTGTTTGACCTCGTGAGATTGGAACACTGTGAGGCGCTGGAGAAGGTGCAGGTAGTGGACCTAGATCGAGGGTTCGAGACCCAGATTGCTCCGGCAGTAACTAAAGTAACTATGATAATCCACTGCGCTCTTCTGGTAGACCACTACCACACAATTAAGGAGGCTGTTGAAACCAACTTACGATTTACATCTACACTCATTCAACTTGCCTACCGATGCCGCCAACTTGAAGTTAGTACAGTTGTGTGAAATGGTAGTGGGATTTAGCCAGTTCATTACTTTAAATGATGTTTGACCATATTATAAGCATCATATTATTCATATTCCCAATAAACAAAAATGCTATGGAGCTATAATAATTACGAGACGAATTAAAAAAAATGTAAGAGCATTCTAACTACGTCGTAGAGTACGCCATTACCCACAACAAACAAGTTTCTCTTTTATAGTCAAATGTTTGGTGTCCGGATGATTAAGGATCCAAAAACATTCTAAAGTCAATGTCTGTTTCTCGTAAATGAGATGTATACTTTCAGTATCCAATGTCAATAGTATATTTGGCTCTCACAAATAGAATGTCTATTTGCAGTATCCTAAATCAATGGTCCATTTGGTTCACATAAATAAGATGCATATTTGCAGTAACCAAAAACAATGGTAGGCTTGCTTCTGGTTCACTTAAATGGAATGTCTTTTTGCAGTATTCAAAGTCAATGATACATCGGGTTAAGTAAAAGAACTGTTTACTTACAGTATCCAAACTCAATGGATTGGGTTAACGTAAATTACCGTAATTGTCTACTTGCAGTTAAAGTCAATGGTTCATTTGATTCACATAAATGGAGTGCCTATTTGCAGAATCCAAAGTCAACGGTACGTCTAGTTCACGTCAATGGAATGTCCTGGCTCGTTGTTATCTTTTAATCGCGCGAGGACTAATTTTTACTCTAACATACTAAAATCCCTATCCAATATCGCTGGTTATCATTGGTTTCAACATAGCATATTCCAGTTGATAGCTGTGGTAAGTTTAATAATCCAATAAAATGGATAATGCGGCGCAATGTCACCCACGAACCTTCACACCCGTATTAAATACTGTTTAAAACTCCCAAAAATGATTGGCAATTGAATGGCAATCATATGATCCAAGTGCATTTTTTCTTTATATTTAGCTTGGCCTACAATTTTGAACACCTTACATGCCTGTATGAACCTGAATATGTACATGAATGTACTCCGATTTGTCAACTGCCAAGTTTGCCCGACGATTTATTTTTAAAAACTTAAATGTTCGCTCTCTTAACGCCAAACATTCGGAACCAATCCATTTTTCTATGTGCTGATGTTTTAAGGAGCCGATACTAGTTTGCTTTAAATACGCGGAATCTGTCATAATATGTACAACTTTATTTACATCATCTTGGTCACCCTACGACATATGATACCTCGAAATATTCCGAGTAACCTTTTTCTGATACAAAATATTATCAAGTAGTGCTCATTTTAATTTTGGTAGTTGAGGTCAAATGTTTTCTTATTCCCTCTGTGGAATCTGGACGGTATGTCACTTGGACAAGATAAAACGACATCGTTCTGGGGTGTAATTTTTTATTTCAAGATTTCATAGCAGTTTGGTACTATCCTCAAACACGTATCCTATTGTATTTGTTTTATTTTGCTATTTCATAAGCTCTACGATGCGTACCTTCAACTTCGTATATTTTTGAAGTTATAATTTATAAAATGCAAGGGAACTTAAAAGTCTAGATGAAATATCAGTTCATCAATCTCTTAAAACCAGTAATGAACCATAAAGTGCAAGTCAACGGTTATCAAAAACTATAAATCAAGACTAAGTGAATATTCCAGCCTAAAATCTGGAATTAAAAATTATATTTTGTTCTATACACTAGAAATAATTTATAAAAAATAAACTATCCTAACAATTAGAAATTATTTGACCTAAAAGTAGGGCCTAAAGTGTCTAATGAATCAATAGAGTCAATTCAAAATATATTTTAAGGCTTACTAAGTTTATAAGACATCCACAGTATATGGATGCCTACGATAACTGAAGTGCTCTTGCTTCTAGTTTGTGTTCATTCAGAAAAAATCTTTTAGTTTATATGTGTGATTCGTAAGAATAATTATTAACCACCAAAAACTTATTTTTTGAGATTTAAATTATTTTTGCATGCATTGGTAAACTAAATGACTATAAATGGTACTTGATATAAATCAGAATTAGAGTATAAACTTTAAAGTTTTGAGATTTAATGCATTTAAATGAGCTTTGATATGTTTCAACATCATCATTGTGATAGGTGTGGGAAATAAGCGAATGTCTTATTCCCGTTTCTCCCTAACGTAACATCCCCTACTTGATTAATCCGCTGTGACTATTTGACCACTGTATTCCTGTCCTACTCCAAAACGCTTACTGAATTGCCATGGCATTTTGGAAAATTAATTATGATCATAAGAATTCGTGTTTTTCACTCCCCCATGGGGTTTACAGATCTCCACAAATATTTGAAGACCGGAATATTTCGACATATGCTTAATAGTATTTTAATATGTCTATGACGGGGACAAGGGTGTAAGAGCCACTGGCATTTTACAGTTTGCATTTTAAAACTGATACAGAATGAGAATTTAAAAAAAAATTAGCAAACAATGTTTTAGATAAGTGAGACATAAACATGTTTTAAACTGATTATATGCATCGTTTGATGAGCTATGTAGGGAAACGGTAATCTGAAGTTTGAAAAAATCAACTAACGCTATTAAGTGCCAGTAGCTGAGATTCCAAGTCAATAGGATTAAAACAGAAACATTGTTTTCAAAATACATTTCCACTTATAATTTTTTTATGTCGACATTTTGGTAATGCTGAAGTGGGTAGGAACAGTGGGTAGGTGTCAGTAATTAAGAAACCCACTTGTGCAAATATTGATTTACAACTATAAAATCATGCAAAACCCAAGTTTTATTTCGGTTTCTTTATTTTGTGATTAACATGATTAGAATCAGGATTCTGGTATAAACTACATTGATACTACTTTTCTTACCATATTTTATTTTTAAAGATAACATATTGACCATTACAATGATCTTGAATATCTTTTCTAACGAATTTCAGTCCTTCGTTGTGGTTACCTCAACCTTATGCCACAACGGACAAAGGATAGTTGACGAACAGTTTTACCCTCCGCCTGTCACAGCCCCTGCAATGTGTATAATGGCCGACTCTCTTTCCCAAGACGTATTTACCAACAGCACAGCTGGGTATGTTCTCCTAAATAATAAGAAATAAGATATTTATTTTCCCATTTTTTTTTACATTAAATTGTTTACAAAAAACTGTTACACTACTATAGTCATGGCATGACCTATAATATACTAAGGATGAGAAACATACTTAAAAAAGAATAACTGTCAAGTTATATGAAACCGAATTTGATTTTAAGGTTAATTACAGTAGCCACATATCTACATGGTCAAACTAAATTATATTACTTAAGGGAAAATTTAGGACCTCCAAGGCCTAGCCTGAATGGAGGTTCCATTTATACATAAATTTTAAAACTAAAAACAGCTCTAAGACGCTAACTTAAATTAATTGATAACTTAAAATATCTACTCCTGCTTTAAAAATAAATAGATGCACTTTCTAAAACATATACTTCTTGCTGTAGGCCTACTATTTTCAATTGTTGAAGTATAAACACTTTTTAAAAATATTATAATATTGAAATGTGTTAAACCTGTATGTTAGTAAGAAAATGTATGTGTGTTTGCGTAAAAAGCCATTTCTGTAATCGTTTTGAAAAAACTGTAGAATTAAAGGCACTTTTTATATAATCTGGTACCAAATTATACATCCTTGGTGCCATAAAAATAAAACTTTTAGTAAAGAAAGTGTTCAGTGGTTTAGGGACGGAAAATTGTTTCCAGTTCTTAGTTTTGTTCGGTAAGAAGTTCCAAAAAAATACGATTGCCACTTTTACCATAAAAATATTTTAAAACCTTATATACATATAGATACTCTAGCGGAAAAATCTTTAAAGAGAAAAACAATGGTTTTGAAGTTTCAGTTTTTACTTTTCTTAAAATTTAGCGGACAAAATGTTTTTGTTGTAACAAAAGAGAATTTCTATTTGACTTGTACGTTCCACCCCATCAAGTCAAACCATATTCTAAACGACTTTGGATTAAAGAAAAATAAAGTCTTTTCAAGATGTCCTTATTACACAATTCCCTTAAAAAGTAAAAAATTCTTAACACATTATATAATTTCTTTTTCAAATTAAAAACATGCTTTCTCCAATTTAATTCACTACGGTACCTAATGTTAGGATTTTTATTTCCACAGCTTCTCCTACTAGAGCACAAAATCATTACACTTGGTTTGCTGTCATAGACATTTAATACATTTGTAAATAACTAGCTCTTCATCTTTTGAAGACTTTCTTAAACTGAAATTGATATATTTGTTTTTTTCCGTACTGAGAACCATATGATTTTGGGTGAACCACCATTTTAGAGAAATTAAATCAGTATCCATTGCCATTTTAACTTCTTCCCATGATTCTCCGGCATAGCACAGAGCTGTGTCGTCAGCAAATGAAGTTAGTTTTCCATGGAAAGATGCATCACAAAGGTCATTAATATAAATTAGGAAGAGGATTGCCCCTAAAACCGAACCTTATGGAACAACATATAAAATTTTCTCCCAGATCGCTAAATTTACCATTCATTTTGACACATTGTTTTCGTCCAATTAAGAAGCTCTCAAACCAATTATAGCAACCCCTCTTATTCCACAATTGTATAATTTTGAAAGCAGAATATTAAAATCAACTGTGTCAAATGCTTTTTTGATATCTAGAAAAAGACCACTTACTTTTAGTGAAGAGTTTAGCCCATTGTATATAGAACCGATGAATATTTGTAAAGCCATTTCAGTATTTAAACCCTCCCTGAAACCAAACTGATTGTTGCTAAAAAAGTTATTTTTCTCTAAGAAACTAACAAGTTTGAATTTCATTATTTTCTCAAATATTTTTGAAAAAGAAGACAACAAAGAAATCGGACGATAATTTCCACAGACATATATATTAAAATACCATCTAAAATATTGTTGGGTACTTGCGGTAAATGAATGTATAACGAATTAAAAAATTAATACTCTTACAGTAAAATTATTTCAATGGTTATTTTTATTTGAAATTTGAATTAATGCAAAATTAAGTTGCTCAGTTTGCAAGCTAGACCTAGAAAACAATAATTTGGTGTAAAATTAGGTGATGCTAAAACCTGAACATTAAAAAGGAACTGTTAAAATTAGTAGAGCTGGAAAACGGGAAGTAGCTTTTTGAGCAAGGGTGTGGTGGTAGAAGCTGAACAAAGAAACTGTTACCACTAGGCCTAACCGAGGTCCTTCAGCCCTTCCACTGTTGTATTTTGTTTTTACATAAGTATTGTTTGTAGGTTATAGTTGGTAAATGCAAGTTATACTAATTATATTTGAGAGGAGGATTGGTATATATACATTTTGGTATTAAGGTACGAACACTTAATTATACTAAGATACACATACAGATAAATCAATGGGACCATGAAATTATTGGGTGTTCTCCCATTGCTGCCCGGCGGTGGTAATGGGTGGGTCACGTACTCGCATACAGATATCGGCGCAATTCGATTACTTCTTAATATTCTGAGTGGCGGAGAGTGTTTTGCCGTATCGTAGGGTGTTCCATGTTCCCAGGGCCACGACCGACAATGTCGACCGTCAACTCGTACCACTATGCTTCTGTGTTTGAGCTAGTGGTGGGAATACTGAGGTCTTCATCTCAATTGCTCTTACGTTGGGAAGGGTTCATTGAAGATTTCAATAGCTTTTTCGTTCGTCACTAAAAAGTCCGGACAGCATCTCACAATCTTCTTGGGGGACGGCTCATTTTTTTCCGGAGAGCACGTGAACGGTAGTTTTAAACTAGTGATTGCACTGTCTACATTTTCTTTCCCCACCTGTTTCACCCGTTCAGATGGGATTGAAGGAAGAGCTAGTCAGCAAATTTGATGAAACGCTCTCCCTGTAACATGTGGTTTTCATATATAATTTTTTTCTTTTCTGTCCATATTCACATCAAGTTCCTCTCTTACGATAAACCTTGGCTATCACCCTTTGACTTTGGTGTATGTTCTTACCTGTTTATCTATTTCTTTAAGTCCTCTTTGATAATTTTCATGCTTTTTTATCCTTTCTCGTATCATGCATCTGCCCGTTCTTTCCCATTTCTAGCGAAGTTGCTTCAGGCCGGGGGCCCACGGGTCTAAAGTCAACTGTGAGTAGTTTGTGATCTAAGGTGCTGCTGTCGTCAATCAGGTGATCTTGTTGTTTCCAGGGTGTCGTCCCGTTTGCGAACAGTCCCATTTGCGAACAGTCCCGTTTGCGAACAAATTTTTGGCTCTGGGGTGAGGTACCTGGGGAGGAGTCCCGTTTGCGAACAAGTTTTGTTCTACCCTTAGTCAGGTGGTCTTCCGCGCGTTAATTATTGTCTTTCTGCTTGTAGAATGCAAAGCTAATATTTAAAGACATTTTATTCAGAATATCTGCTTTTTAGGCCTACTTTTGAATATTGATTGTATAAATATTAGTTGTTTCATCGGCAGTAAACAAGTACAATGAATCAATACGAGCAGGGATTATTCTTTTGATTAGATTCATTAACCGTCTGTAACGAATATAAATAAAAAAGCCAAACCCCCGTATTCCCTTCATTCATATTTCCATAGTCCGAAATTGTTGATTTAAGAGCTCAATAAAAAATGTAGGATTTTACAAAAGTTATTTACCAACTTTGACTGAAATATATTCGTTAATGCTTATGTTATCAAGTATACAGACTTGCGAAAAAAACACATTTTTGATCTCTGCATGATTACTATAAAAATACCGGTATGGATCATAAACTTAAACAAATGACGTTTTTGGCCCGAAAATAAATATGATTTAATATTGCTTAAATAGAACTGCCAAAACATATGTTCAAATGCTATTAGTATAGGATTCGGGCCAACAACGTCATTTGTTTATGTTTATGATCCATACCGGTATTTTTATAGTATTCGTGGATCTCTGCTACAACTTATAGAGCACATGTTTAACATTTTAAAATATTTATAGGGTTTTCAACTGTTTGACTCAAACAGCAATCAATATTGTCATAAATGTATATTCTAATCATATAGGATAAAATTAAATAGGCTATTTAAATTTAAAAGTGCTACGTTATGCACGACCCTTTTATATTACGAAACTCTAACCACCGATTAACGTCTTCCTATTATATTTACAGATAAAGTATACAACTAGCATATAAGTTATTATATGCTATATTAAATTACTATATTGGTATAGATGACGTAATTTGTCTTTTGAAAGGGAAGGAAACTACATGTAATCAGGTCTTAAATTACTTAAACACAATATCCAACCAAATCAAATTTATTAATAAATTATTTTTTCCTGACAGTGAATTCATGTACCATATTTGATCAGTATTGTGTTAACATTTTCACATATCATTATATTAATTTAGCTGCTTGTAAATAAAGTTACACTATGGTATTGTTTAAGTATGAGGTTGGTTTCTAAGTACTATACCAAAAATTATCCATGCATTTTTTGTCAAAAGATTATACGAAATGCAATGATATCCATACGTATGGGATTGGAGTTTGAACACATAACCAAATTATGCAAAACATGTTATTTGTTATATATTTTACTTTGATTTAAATACATCTTGTTGACAAATTGGCTAACAATTCTTCGTTTAAACCAATAGAGTAAATGATCAAACACAAAAGCGGTTGAAAAACTACCCAACTTCAAAAGTTTCAAATATGTGTTCGCAAAACGGACAGGTGACGTATGACATCTTAAAGTTGTTCGCAAAACGGACAGATTTTACCCTGTACGCAAATGGGACTGTTCGCAAACGGGACACAACCGTTTCCAGGCGGTGTCTTCAGATTGCGGCTTCTGAGGATTCTTTTATGTTGTATGGAGCAAAATCTTGTTGCACCTTTTGATGTCGTCCTGGAATTGTGGAAGTATCCTGAGACTATTAGTAGTGGACATTTTAACGTGTTTGTCTTCGTGACCACAAAATTGTCTGTGCAGTATTCTACAATTTTATTATTTATCATAGATTATTTTGCAGACAATTGCCGCATACTGTCTTTGTCTTTTATGGTTACCTCCGATTACTCTA